TGTATGTGTGACAGCTTTTGGAGACCAGTTCAGTTTCTTAGTCTCTCTCCTCCTTATTCCCACTGACCCCAGAACTCCCTGATTCACTAAACTGTTTGGCCAATGAGCTCCTGGGATCTGCCTGTCATGTCTCTATTCCCAGCACTTGGTTTATAGAAACACTCTGTATATCCAGCTTTTGTAAAGGGTTGATGGGGACCCAATCTGAAGCTTGCACAGGATGCACTTCACTGGCCAAGCCATTCCCAGCTATCCTAGGTCTCTTTCCTATGACTTTTTCCTCTGAGAAAGACTGCCTTATTTCTTTCTATTTAATTGATCCTCAGGTGCTCTTTAAAATATTTGGCCATAGTTATTTTTAGTGTAATTTTATAAAAAGCACCATATTTGGATTCTAGGCTTTTTTAAAAGATAAATAGTTTTTTATTTAATAGTTTTTCACTTCTCTTTTTATCCTGTCTTCATATTCAATTGTACTGGCATCAATATTTTCTGTTTTTTTTCTTGTATGGAAAGTGGAAATTATCAGCACATAATATAAATATAATTCACCTAATAAGAGATAATATCTGTTCCTATGTCTTTAAAAATAAAGATAAAATAACATCTTTTCTGTCAATGATGCTGATTTGAAATACTACAGTGTTATTATTTGTTCACTAATACATTATTTGTATTTTGGCAAACACATGTTTCCATTTCTTCTAAGAAACTATTTGTTGGTGTCCAATCCTGTTCTAGCACTGGCTGAAAAAACTAACAATCACTGTTTTAGTTATTTCATTACTTTCTCATATTTTGATCAACATCCTCTTTTGAAAGAATAATCCTATCATTCTAGAAGAAAATATCAAATGACATAGAAGTTCATTGGAAGAATGAGGGTCAGTAAATGAAGTTGGCCAGATGACTTACATATTATAACAGTTATTAAAATAACCCTGCGTTTTATTTCTGCAAAACCAATATCAGAAAAAATAATGTTCACGTTCCCAGATACTTGAGTGTTGCTAACTATGATGCTGATATGTGAGAAAGTACAAGGACTATTTTGAGAGTTCTGATAAGTTTAGTGCAAATGGAGCAGACAGAAACATAATTAAATAACATCAAATTAAGATTTTGAGAATACTTTGTTTTCACCATTGAGACACACATAAATTATGTCCTTAATTTTCACTTATGCTTGATCAATATTTTTAGCTTGAGTATGCTAAGTCAAGGGAATCCTACTATTTCCTACATTCAATAGCAGTTATTCATTTTCCAAGCTGCAAACAGCTATTCAGATAGGTTTAGAAGCCTGATTTTTTTCATATAAACATGTCAGAATTAATGTTGACCCAGAGGAATATTATGAATTATCTCTTGTCTTAAAATTTACCATTTTTGTCTTATAACAGAAACCTTTGGAAGCTAACATAGGCTGGATAAGATATACCTTTATGAAGATTACAAACAGTAGCTGGTTCCAGCCACCTACCCTTCTTCTGACAGGCATCCCTGGACTAGAAGATGTGCAGATATGGTTCTCTATCCCACTATGTGTCATGTACCTAATTGCCCTCCTAGGAAACTGCACCATCCTCTTTATTATCAAAACCACCTCCATCCTGCATGAGCCTCAGTACATCTTCCTATCTATGCTGGCAGCTACAGACATGGGTCTGTCTGTATCAACTCTGCCTACAGTATTGAATGTCTTCCTCCTGAATCACAGAGAAATTGAGTTCCACTCTTGCTTGACACAAATGTTCTTCATCCATACCTTCTCATCCATGGAGTCAGCCATTCTATTGGCCATGGCTTTTGATCGGTTTGTAGCTATTCGTAATCCATTACACTATACTGTGGTTTTAACACCCTCTCGGATTATCAGAATGGGACTTGCAGCTGTTGTTAGGGGTGTGCTGTTAATGGTACCCTTACCCATTCTACTCAAGCGGTTGCCCTTCTGTAAGGGTGTCATTCTATCCCATTGCTACTGCTACCATCCTGATATTATGAAGCTGGCCTGTGGTCCTGTCAAGGTCAATATCATCTATGGATTGTCTCTAGTCCTCTGTTCCTTTGGAGTTGACTCTGTATTTATTGTCATTTCTTACATCTTGATTTTGAAAACAGTGTTGGGTATTGCCTCAGGTGATGGTCAACTAAAGGCGCTCAACACCTGTGTCTCCCACATCTTCACTGTCTTTATATTTTATGTACCACTCATTGTTCTGGCCCTAATTCACAGGTTTGGTACATTTACATCTCCTCTCCTCCATGTCACCATGGCTAATCTCTTCCTTTTCTTGACTCCTGTTCTGAACCCCTTGGTGTACAGCTTAAAAACCAAACAGATAAGGTCCGCAGTGTGTAAAGTATTCAAAGATAGAAGAAATTTGCTCAAATAGTCACATACAGCCTTAGAGAAAGAGATGCCTTACTTCTCTGCCCTGTCATCTACCTGCTTCTCAGGAACATGATTTTATTTCAAGGTATTATATTGTGAGAATTGTGATATTCTTGTCTTCTAAGAAGAAGGTAGTACTTTGATTAACACTGAAAAAGAAATATTGATCTACTACTTTGTGAAATGAGAGTAAATGATTCAGTGTGGGATATGCATATACTTTGTTTAGTTACTTCTTTTAATAAAACACATGAACTAGACAAAATTTAAAGGGATATGAAAACCAAGTAGATGCTACTCATATTTGGAAGACAAAAACAAGCTTAGCTAACATAATGGGGGAAGTGTTCATTTTTGATTTTTAAATTTTAATATGAAACATTGCAAATAAAATTGTTCTTTTAAATTGTAAATTATCAATCTAAATAATTAAAAACAGCAGCGAGTTATAAGATGTGAGAGTGAGACAGAAAGTTATACTTGGAGGAATTAGAGTATAATAATAGAAGTTCTTCTGGAGGAAGCATGATGAAGGTCAGTAAAATAGTGGACCCCTGAATGTCCATCAGCTTTTACATTTATTTATTTAATTAATTAATAAATAAAGTTGATTTATATGCTGTTTTTACTAAGGTTACTATTCCAGGCCATTGTAGTACTTTGCTTGGTATGGAAAAATGCTCTCACTCTGATAGCACTCCCATAATACAGTTATCCTGATGGTATTTTAGGAAATCATTCCATGTTCATATTTTGAAATTATTCAGTACTTAGATATTGTTAGAGTTTTATATTTGAAGTCTAGTATAGAGTATTTATTTTGTTACTATTTTCTGTTATATTTTGTAAATATCCTTCTCCTTTTTAGTTTTCTCTCACACATCATACACATGATCCAAGAATATAAGGAAAGCCAAAGTAAAATGGTTTCCCCAATACTTAGAGCATCATTTAACACATCATAGAAAATCCTGATATCTGGTATATAATTTCCCAAATAACAAGTGGGTCATTTTCCAGTGAAAATCAGCTGAGTGTCCTTTGATTCAGTTAAATTCTATAATAGTATCTACCTAGAAAGAGCATCAGATATGAATAATTAAGGGCTAAATATTAAATGGCTATGTCAATTTAAGGGACACTGGATGAACAATGAAATTCTTCTCATTGACATTTTGATTGAACTCTTGGCAGCTACAGAATTCTAACTATCTTAGTTCAGTTCTTAAAGTATGATTAAGTACTTTATTAAGGAAAGAAAAAACTATACTGTCAGCCATAAACAGAAGCAGGCAAAAAAATGTCTTGAATAAATGCACTGTGCTGAGAATCTAAGATTATTTGGTAAGATTAGAGTATGAAAGAAATGATAGGCAGGTTGGATCATAGAGAGCTTCACATACAGATTCGGTTAAACTTGTGAAAACAAACATGTATTGTGTCAGTAATGTGGAAGTAAATTTTAACACAATCATATTTGTTTAAAAACACTTTTATATAACACAATAAATGTCAGTTTAAACTCCAGGTAAGGTTAGATGTTTAGAATTCAACTCCACATTACATAAAGAAAAGCATCTAGAATGCTTAAATTAGTGGAGCTAATATTGAGATGTAGAAAAGTAAAAGCATTTAAGATAAATTTAGGAGATGTAATGACATTAATGAAGAAGAAATTTAAAAGAAATGTAGAGATAACAGCATTAATTTTTTTACTCTGGAATCATAAAAATATAGTCATCACTTGTATACAGAGGGAATTTGAGAGGAAAAATGCATTAGAAGAAGTTCATGAATTTAACTTTGGTTTTCATAGATTTTAAGACTATAGCTACAAAGAGCATATCCATGTGTGTACACCCATCTGAAGATCAGAAACAAGCTTCTGAAAATGGCTATATAGGTGCTCTATAACTGTGGAGCAAATCAGAGCTACAAAACTAGTTAGCAATGGTGTGAAACAGAGGAAAACAGAATAATCTTTTTTTTCTTCTAAAGGATGCGGATGCAGAGGTGGGAGTATTTGAGGGGAAAAAAAGCAAAACAATTTTCTAATTGACTGCTTTGACCCCCACACTCTATAGCAGGGGAGTCAAAATGGTGTAGAAGATGGCTATAAATTTTGTTCTCAGGGAGACAGTGCAAGAAAGAAGGGGGATATTTTAGCAAATAGAATAGAGCAAAACCACGAGGAAAGAAAACAAAGCCGAAAGCAAAAGAATAGGTCTGGGGATTTCTGAAATTCTGAATTTTCAAATTCTTTAATTATAACCCTCATTTGCAACCATAAAAATATAGTGAACTTATCCATTAATAGAGGCTAACCTGAAATATCTAACTAAGAACAGTTTTTTTTTATTGTTTAGTTTGTGAAGTCTATCAAATCATACACTAAGACATATAGGAGAAAATAAAATTTTTGAGTATACAAATACAATGTCTTTATTCATAAAAGCTATAATTTCAACATTTCATCTCATTTTCATATCTATATACACATTCCGGATGTAAAAATACAACAAAATAAACAATCATGTTAACTGTGTAATTGAGAATTGTACTTTCCTTCACTGAAACTGTCTGCATTAACTTTCTTAACTGTTCATCTTATATGGATTTTCAAAGACTTTCTCAGGGCAGAACGAATCTGCTTGGTCTTCAGGCTATACACAATTGGGTTGAGCATTGGGGGCATAAAGAGGTAGATATTTCCTAGGACTGCGTGTGCTACTGGAGAACTTCTGTGGCTGATTCGATGCATTACTGTTATTGCCAACAAAGGGCCATAGTAAATAAAGACAATAAATATATGAGACAAACAAGTGTTGAGTGCCTTCATCTGACCTTCTCTGGAAGCAATCCCCATGACTGCTTGAAATATCAGAGCATAAGAAATGGCTATGAGCAGAAAGTCTACCCCAAAGGAAAATATAACTAAAACAAGCCCATAGAAAATATTGATTTTGACTTGGCCACAAGCTAGTTTCATGACATTTGGGTGGATACAGTAGGAATAAGACAGCATCTGACCCTTGCAGAATGGTAGCCTCTTGAGCAGAATAGGCAATGGAGTCATGAGTGCTACACCCCTCAGAAAGGCAGCCAGTCCCATCTTGATGACTCGTGAGTTGGTAAGTATTGTGGTGTATTGTAGGGGGTGACTGATGGCCACAAAACGGTCAAAAGCCATAGCCAACAGAATTCCTGAGCCCATGGAAGAGGATGTATGGATGAAGAAGAGCTGAGCAAGGCAACTATCAAATGCAATTTCATAGAGGTCAAAGATAAAGACTTTTAACACAGAGCAAAGTGTGGAGACAGACAATACAATGTCAGCCCCAGCCAACATAGACAAAAAATGGTACTGGGGCTCCTGCAGACTCAGTTCAGTCCTCACTAAGTAAATTACAGTACAGTTCCCTGCCATTGTAGTGATGTACATCAGACTTAGGAGTGGTCCTAGCCACAGTCGGGCACCCACCAGCCCTCTGAGACCAGTGAGGATGAAGAGAGAAGGTTGAAATGTGGTATTGAATTCAGACATGGGCGTCTGTGAGAATCACTGTGCAAACTGTTCTTTTGACATTGAACCCTAGAAGGAAGCAAAAGTTAGATGTCAAATTCAGGAAGTTCTAATGAACACTCGAGATGAGATGTCATCTGTGAAAGATACAGTCTAACGATAAGGAGCTTATTGGGAGTAAGATGAATTTAATAATTATGCCAAGCAACAAATGTTCTCCTGAAGACTGCCTTGAGGATATGCAAACCTTTTCATTACTGATCTCCATACAGAAATGAGCCAGTTAAGATGGCAGTGAAAATGAACAGTGAATTTTGTGTTCAGCCCATACCCAAACCAGCTGGATCCAAGAGTTTAGGATGAGATCTATGAGACAGCAAACATAAGTAGAAGTACTTTACAAAATAATTCCTTCAAAGTCCTAACACGAAAAAACAAACAAACATGGTGTTGGAGTAATAGCTCCATAGCTAAGAGTCCTTGTTGTGCTAACATAAAGACCTAATTGCAAATACCCAGAACTAAGAAAAAAGCAAAGCATAGTGGCAGGTTTCTGTAACCTCAGCATTATAGGATCAGAGAGAGAAGGCAAGCCAATGGGACTTACTGGCTACAAGCCAATCTTCAGGTTTTGTGACAGAACTTGTCTCAAGGGGATATGGTGGAGAGTGATAAAGCAGGACATATTATGTCAACTTTAATATTCTGTCTGTGTATACTTGTGCACAATGGCATGAACATATATGTTCACGATTACACACACAATTATAAAAGCAGAAAAGGTTACCTTGGGTAGCAGAGTACCCAGTGCTTCTATCTTCTCACTATGGGAGACAAAATCTGAGTTAAAAACAAACATCAACCCCTCACATACACGTATGTGTGAACTCATATGTGTGTCTTGAGATATACTCATTGTGACACTTTTGGAAAGGAAAATTTTCTATTTATAAACAAGTATATATACTGGCATTGTATACTGTACTCGGATTTCACACTTAGAAGAGGTTCTCACTGTTGCCAATGAACGATAATCATTTACCAATTCATTCAACCAATGCTGGAGTGTAACTCTTACCATTTCATTCTGACTCATTGTTCAACTCTCCTCTTCAGTGAAATACCCAAGTTCTTTTTACACAGCTCAAATTATTTACATTCTAAAATATAGATAAAAACTCCTTCATCTTGGAACCGAATTCCCATTCCAAGCACACGCTGATTCTTTGTCTTTGTTAGTGTTATTTAAATGATATGTAAATATACTTAAATGCATCAGAATATATACACCTATAGTATTTAAAATAATTTTAATGTATATATTTATATTTTTATGTTTATTTTAAATTTTTACATAAAGTAAATATATAATCATTTAACATGTGCCATTTTATCTTTATTAGTCTGCCTTTTCTTTCTATGGTAGAAATATAATTTTAAAACATGTTAGTATTATTTACAATAATTCCAATAACTAGATGATATTTTCTAATAATTATTTTGATAAAGAATTAGAAGCTTAAAAATAGGCTATGTCACTTAGTAATATATTTCCCTTCTCTGTTCTTTAAAAATATTTGATCATCAAAAATATTTTCTTTGTGAGAATTTATCTTTCTTGATTTCCAAAAAATTAAAGGCTTTTGAAACGTTTCTATTTTAATGAATTATTCTTCTATACTTTTAACTGTCTCTTTTTCTATGGGAATTAAGAAACAACTACTGTTAGTATCAATCATTTCTTCATTCATAATTAATTATATTTAGTATTTGATTCTAGATGCTTTCCAATACATATTATTATTTTAATCTCTAACATCTTGGTTATCAACCTGTGGGTCAGGACCCCTTTGACAAACTTCTACTGCAAAAAATTATGATTAGTAACAGCAGCAAAATTACAATTATAAAGTATCAATGAAAATAATTTCATGATTGGGGGTCACCACAACATGAGGAACTGCATTAAAGGGTCACAACATGAGGAAGGTTGAGAGCCACTGCTCTAACATTACCTCCAGACAACTTTGAATTTAGAATCTCTGAAACTAAATCCACTCTCTACATACACATTTAGATGTTTTAAATGTCTTTGTGATCTGTCCACCTAGTAATCTCTAGTCATTATCCTAGCTGCAATTTATGATATCTAGCTTACATTAATTAAATATATCACCGCAGATAAGAAGTTTAATTGATCTTGAATTACCACTTTTTTTCTAATTAAACAATAAATGAACATGATTTTTTTTAAAAAAAGGCACTGAATCAACTAAACAGTGCAATATAGGCTCACAGAGACTGAAGTGGCAAGTATTGGGCTCACATGGGTCTGCACCAGGTCATCTGCGTGCATGTTGTGGTTGTTAGCTTGGTGCTTTTGTGGGACTCCTAACAGTGGGAGTGGGGGTGTATCTGACTCTTTTGCCTGCTCCTGGGACTCTCCTGTTGGGCTGCCTTGTCCTGTTTTGATGTGACAGATTTTGCCTTGTCTTATTGTATTTTGTTTTGTCCTGTTTGGTTGTGTCTTGGAGCCCTGCTCTTTTCTAAAGGAGACAGAGGGGGAGTGGATCTAAGGGAGAGAAGAGATGGGGGTAAAGGGGTGGGAGTGTAGGAGGTTAGGAGCTGGGAGAGTGGGGGTAGGAGCTGGAAAGAGTGGAAGGAGGGGAAACTGTGGTTAGGAGGCATTTTTTGAGAGAAAAATCTATTTATCAATTTTAAAAAGTCATTTGGGAAGAAAGAGAAAAAGGAAAGAAATTTTGGAATAATCCAGGAAATATTAATAAGAAAAAATAATTATATAACATTATTTTTTAAAAAGCCAGCACAGTTTTAGCTAGGTAACTTTCTTACTACTCAAAAATATTGACCTGGGTAAATAAAATTTATGATTTCAAATACAAGAATACTAAATATATTTTAAAATAACTTTATAGAAGATCTCAAATCAAGAAAATTGTCTATATGTAAATTTTTGTCTCCGTTTTAATCTTTTCTTTATCTGTAAATAAATGCCAATTTTTCCTTCACACTTACAATACATGAAAATTAATTAAACATACACTAAAATGTCAAAAAAGAAAGTGTCCGTTCATTTAAAGAGTAAATTCTACACTTTTCTACAATGAAGACAAACAGAAATAGATAAGAGAGAAAAGCAACTGTCTAATATCTATGGCAAATTTTCCATTAAAACATAAATTTTTGTTTTACAGAACCACCGAGTTCCCAAGTTCAAACAGGAATACACAAAACTGGTGAACACAAGAGAAAACAGAGTCAGAGTTGGAGTCATTAAAATTCTGTTCACTGAGGATGGCTACCAACTGACATATTTTTCACTTTCCTTTCTTCCTGTATGTCCTCTCCTGTCTACTTACCTAGACACACGTAAAATGAAAGGAGGGAGGTTGATGCCTCCTCCACTGGAATATTAAAGAAACTATGTAGGAGAGACTTCATTTTGAATGGCAGGCTAAAGCCAACTTCCCTCAAGGGCACGTTCAAATTGGCTGCTGTCTTTTGGAATCCATTGATTCATTAACTCAGTAGCTGATTATACATTTTGTGAACAGAGCATTTCGAGGCACTCTTCTATGGTGGTAGGATATACCTATAAAACATTTTTGTTTGCTGTGTAATTCATATCAATTTTAAAACTTGTCATAACACACGCTGTATAATCATATTAATATTTTAGAGGTGAACCAAACAACCTATTCTCAACTTTATCATAAAAGGTTTCCAAATCTTTGAAGAAAGAATTAAACTTAAGAAAAACTTAAACACTATATAACCATTTACATAGATGAGAACATTAGGCACGTGTGATTATTGTCTTAAAGTATGCTAAGAGCTGAAGATGTTGATGCAAGTGTGTGAAGGAGAATAATAGAAGTTATAAGGACCATACGTAGAGAAAAGAATTCTAGACAAATGAGTGAGAAACCAAGGACCAAGGGACTGATCTCTCATGTATATGGGAGATAAGCTGAAAGGGAATTCAACTGAGAGGAAGAGATTGACTCGTGGGAGGAAGAGAACGCTGAGATGGTAATGACAGTGCTGCATATACTTTACAAAGACAATATTATAATGAACTTTTCAGTTACCAAAGGTTTTAAAGTAAAGTCAGTGATGTGACCTCATTTTCATTTTTGTAAACGCATTCTTTGTGGTCTTTAGAAAATGACTCAAGAGGGGAAAACTAGATGAAAAAATACATTTTAAGCTTATTTTAATTCCCCGAGGAAGAATCAGGATTAGGATGTGTTTGCTTACATGACTAAAAGCGAAAGATCTCCACCTACATTTTGAATAGTTTCAGTGTGTTTTTTTAATCATTGGTGCATGATGCGCTTTCTCATGATGCGCTTAATGATTTTGTCCATTAATATGTAAGTCATTTCCTGTATTAGCATATAAACATTACTCAGAATAGACTAAGACGAATACAACAATGCTATGCCTTAATGAAAAGAGAGCTTTGGTTGTAAAGGAAAAAAATTCTGACCATTATATTTATATTACATTTTCTTATTGCCTATTCTCCATCCGTATCCAGAGTCCCATGCACTCCAGTGTTTAGGATTACCTCAGTGACTATGGCTGCAGATGTTGAGTGAGGCTGGCACTGTAGTTCTGTCTGAACTGTCAATGGAGTATTTATTTCTTCCACAGATGTTCCCAAAGGTATTACATGGCAACTTCTCTCTTCCTTCCTCTTTCTTTCTCTCTCCACTTACCAACCCATTCATTAATAAAATATGCATATGAATATACACATACTGCTCCCTATTTTTTTCTACAAGTTTTCAGAATAAATGATGATGTGAGACAAGAGTTTTTAAGGATGATCAACAACAGGATTATCAAATAAAACAAACCAATGATATTCTGAGACTCCTGAATCAGGAGAAAGAAAACATTTAAAAACAAAAGACTTTAATTTTATTATTAATGATAGGAAAGAAGACAGTCAAGGTTAAAATATGTCTTGTCTCTAGAGATGAGTCATGAAA